GGTGTCAAAATCCCAGACACGCCACTGGGTTCTTCTAGGAATACGAGTGTTAGATGTCTTTTAAATGCTGGCCAGTCTCGCTCATAGCCAGACGCTGAGGGGCGGTGCTGAAAATAGACTGCATTCAGGAGATTGTTGCTGCTGGTCTGGTGGTGTTCAGAGGGATGGTTCTGGGCGAGTCACATACCTATCTGCATGTGGAATGAGAGTAATGCGGGAGGTGAACTGCTGACCTCTGGTGAACAGGTCGGTGCAGCGGTCACAAGCTCCACACTGTCCTCCGCTTACACATATGGAGTCCACTCGACTGGAGCCGAACATACAACTATTCACAGCTGTCCTCATTAAGAAAGGATGGAGACACTTTCACTTTCACTTGTTTGTTTCAAATAAACAGCAGTTTCCCACACATAGACAACACTGGCTGCCACATATTGCGTTTCGTTATTCTTTTTTCTTTTTTTACGCTATTTAAAACAGGCAGCGTATTCGTTCAGCTGCATTTCCTTTCCCTGCTCTCCCTCCGTCTCTCTCTCTCTCTCTCTCACACACACACACACACAGCCCCTCCCCTCCGTGCACACCGCGTCTGTCTATAAGGCGCCAGACTGGACAAAAGCGAAGTGAACTTTTTTTTTTTTTTTTTTTTTTATGTTTATAAGGGTTACATGTGAACATTGTTTATGAGTTGTTTGGTTGTTACTCTTTGTGTGTTTTTTATGTTGGTAACTTGGTGCAACTGACGTTGCTGATTGGATGTTAATGGGGTTCACCTGTGATGATGTTAAAAAGCAATCTCTTTGTTTCACACCACACACTCACTGATGATGGCTTAGGCCGAAACGCGTCTGTGTGGACATGGTATAAATAAATATATATGAGATGCAACTAGAGAGTGCGGTCTTTCATCTTTATATTTATTGATTATAACTTATTATTCAATAAACCAAACTCTAGTGTTACTCGTCTTACGAATTATTAACGAAAGAATATAGATTATAGTATCAAAAGCAAGTAATCTCATGGTTTTATTGAACAACATTGTTATATAAACTGTTAATATGGTACATGGTACAAAATCAACTTAGGTACATTACGTATTATAAAAAAAATACACGCACAAGGCACCACCAGCCATTTGATTATTGTTGTTGTTACACTTTACAGCATGATCAATCCCAGTGCATATATTTACTAAATATTTAACTGAATCGCAGCCTTTGTGATTTCACAATAGCACTATGCTATATTATGATTTTAAAATCTTGATTCGTGCAGCCTTTAAAAACAGTCTAATAATGCATTTCATGGATTCAGCACAAACTGAATATATCACAAGGATTTCTGAGGTGACTCACTATGCTGACTCGCGATCTTTGCAGTAGAGAGAAATGCACATTTCATACGGATTACATAAGCAGAGAGCAGTCTGTAGTCTGTTTTCTTTCGTTTTGAATTGTTCTGTTTAAAAGTAGACATGTCTGTGAGGCAAGTAGGTTACCTTATACGCCGAGTTTCGGTTCATTTATGAGACGAGCTCCAGTTCACGCGCCAGCGGCTCCGTTTCGTGATTATCTATCGTCTGCTATATTTACTTCTTATTTATTAAATCCAGGCACCTGGTTGATGAAACATTGATTAAAATTAAGATACAATTAATACAAAACGAAATTCACTTTAAAGAAAGGTTTTGTGCTTTCTGTTTGATGTCTCTGTGAAGGTATTAAAGCATCTTTTAGTGCCGCTTTCAGAGCGCGTCGTGTCCGTAACGGGTAGGGATGCACCGATCCACATTTTTTCACTTCCGATCCGATCCCGATACCTGAATTTGGATATGAGCCGATACCGATACTTTTCCGATACCAGAGCTGTGTTTGCTTTAATATTATTATTATCATTATTGTTGATTTTATATGATGCTGAAATAAACTCCTGATCCTGAAACTGAAATAAAATTTCAGGAAGGTCTACTAACATTTTTCAGGTATGGTCTAAAAAGAATTATAATAAAGTAATCAAAAGTAAAACAGCACTGCAAAGTTTATCATAGATAGAGTTATGCTTATTAAAGCTAAAGTTATTCATTCAAGAGCTGTGAGTGATTTTCTCTTTGCCTTTTGTTGTTTGATTCTCAGTAATGGAGCATTCGTCAGCATGTTTATTAGACTGCTTCCCCTTTAAGAACGAGTGCAGATCTAATAGTCTACTGATGCACCATATTTTCTCCCAACTATTTCCATAACTACGTCCATTTTAGACATAAACTGTTTAAGTGAATCTCCAAGCCGGTCATTTTGACATTTTTGTGTAGGCTACATTTGATCATTTAGACGCGCATATGAAGCCCAAAGTATAATGTGCTTGTCTCGTTGCGGTCTCGTTGCGGTCTGTTTCGGAGCGCGCGCCGCGGGAACAGCATCTCTTGCGCAGATTTTTGTGCTTTTAATAGCTCTTTTTATTATTAAAAGCATCCCGCAATTTAGCAACAGTAGAGACTGCATTTTACAACAATCACCGATCATGCTGATGGGCTGTCGTGTTGTGCGCGCTGTGGCACCGCGTGAGAGATCTCTCTCTTTCTCTTCTGGACTGTGAATAGCAAACATGCATCACAGACAAATGGTTTAATTAATACGGCTTTGCAAACATTGCATTTTGCTGTCTTGCTCTGCTGTGGTGTTTCCAGTGTGAAGTATTTCCACCATAGGATTTCCACACAGTGAACATGTTGGCAGCTCAATGCTATCCTGTTAGCTGGCTGCAAACTGCGGAATGAATTTCCTGAGGGGGGGTCTCTGTGTCTCACTGAGCCGTGCCTCCGTTCAGGAAATCCATTCCACAGTTTGCAGCCAGCTAGCAGACTAGCCGGCGGGCCGCGGGAATCACTTTTGGAGTCGTTTCAGCAGACAACGTTAAAGCGCAGACATGGCTCATGGATATCGGATATCTCCGCAGGTTGGATCGGGAAAATCCGATACGTGAATTACGCTGGTATCGGTCCCGATACCGATACTGGATCGGATCGGCCCCATCCCTAGTAACGGGGAACTGTCACGTCCGTAACATTGTTTTTTTCCTCATAAATGCGAACACTAAAAATAAAATAAAATGAATATTTTGTTCTGTGGAGACTGAGAGCCAACCCTTCTTCATTCGGTGGGTAGTAGTTTGCGCAGTGTAATTCACTTTTACTAAACAATATTTATTTTAGGCCTATAAAATTCAGCCCGTATAAATGTGCATTTTCTAAGCTTAGAAAATGGGCAAAATTCATTTGATTCTAATCATAATGTAACATTATTGTGAAATTGATTTATTTATAGGCTACTTGCTATTAGTAAAGCCTATGTTTTTATCCAACTAGGCTATGTGTGGGCCTTATGTAAAATACGGGACAAATCGCGTCCCTTATTGATTTGATACGGACGCATCATTTTACTTGTAAATACGGGACAATTCCGTATTTTAAGGGACGGGTGGCAACCCTACCACCAACAATGCGTCGCTGCTGTAAACAGGTTAGGCTGTAGGCTACACTTCAGCCAAAATTAATTAATAAAAAAAAGTAACGGACAACGCACCATATGGTAAACGGTAACGGAGTTAATTTATTTAAAAAGTAATGCGTTACAGTATGAGTTACTGTCAAAAGTAACTGCGTTACAGTGACGCGTTACTAGTAACGCGTTACTGCCCAACACTGTTAATGATATGCTAAAGTCAGCCGGCATGTTGACGTGATTGGTTACATTGTAGTTTGTGACGTCAGAAACACCAGCGATTTCAAACTGCGTTTTTGAGACTGTCTTTCTTTTCACTGCAGATTTAAAGAGAAAATACTCAGCAATGGTGTTGACTTATGACTTTGCACATGGTTTGTCTTAAAGCATATTAAAAACACCAATCAACAATAAAAACTTTCACCACAGGGGGGTCTTTAAGACGATCGTTTCAGTTGAAATTCTTCCTATTCATGCAATGAAAACGCCAGAGCAGCCATGCACGTGCATTCACATAAGAGAGATCTAAGGTAAGAAGAAGTTTATCACTGAACATATGGTGTGAGCTCTGACTACCACTCAAACACAAACAGCTTTAACTGGACAGCAGGAAGATGCAGCCATCAACATAGGGACACTGCTGCATGGGACAAACATACACTTTATACTAATAGTGAATAACAAGCACGTAAGAAATTTAAAAAACTGTTAGCGAAGAAACTCAAACAAAACATAACAGACTTGGTGAACTGAAAAGCCTCCAGCATGGGGGACAGACTAACAGGAAATTCACAGCCTGGCACACAAATAGGCAACATCCTGCATTGCGTTCCCGCATTAATGAAAACAATGGAAGCCCCGCCCCTTCGTCAGCATCTAAAGTTAAGCTTTGGGTTTTACTATGGAAGAGGTTACGTAACCATTAATTTCAAGCTTGAGTAAATCTGTCCAAAACTGGACGATGCACTTAAACGTTGGTAAAAATGCAACATCATCTATTTTCCTTTTTTTGGAAGGGAGTTGCCCACAGTATCGCACCCTTTTTAAATCATCCAAAACAAATCTCTCACGGCCGGGGTGGCTAAACCTGTAATTACAGTCCTTATTTGAGTTCCCAGAGCACAAACCGTACACACAGACCTCTGCTCTGCTCCGTAGCAGCAGCCTGCAATTAGTAAGACCAGAATAAATCAATTCCACTGGAGCCACATCTGAGAGGCTGGGCGCCTCCTAACGTACTCCCTGGAACAGTGCCCCGCAGTATACATCGCAAAAGCAACTGGGCAGCCAAAGGCAGTACTAAAATGTCCTCTATGATTGCTGAAATCAGAACAATTTGGTCACTTCCTGTGTTCCCAAAATAATTCACATTCCCATAGACCAGCACACACAAATTATTTCCATGCAATTTGTTCCAAATGTCAGTGTCGTGCAGTAAAAACCAAACAAGAGAGAAAGACAAGCAAAACCAGGCCAAATCTGTGACCAAAATGGTCTCACCTGTGAACATAGTGCAGCTGATGCACAGAATCGATCGCCAGAACCATCTCTGCCAGGTAGAATCGGGCCATGTCCTCTGGTAAACGGTCCTCAAACTTGCTGAGAAGAGTCAAGAGATCACCACCCACGTAGTAATCCATCACCAGGTACTGCAGAAGACAGACATGTCAGAACTAAATGGCATAAAAGCAGACATACACCAGATACAATAGAAATGTGCAGATTGATAGAAGATAAAACATTAGATACATAGATCAATAGATATCGATAGATAGAACAATCGATAGATAGAACGATAGATAGAACGATAGATCGATCGATAGATCTAGATAGATAGATAGATAGATAGATAGATAGATAGATAGATAGATAGATAGATAGATAGATAGATAGATAGATAGATAGATAGATAGATAGATAGATAGATAGATAGATAGATAGATAGATAGAGAGATAGATAGAGAGATAGATACTATAATGATAGAATGATAGCCAGAAGGATGGATGGATGGATTGACGGTTGGAACGACAGATAGATAAATAAATTGATAGATATAATGCTAGATATAGATGATAGAATGATAGACAGAAAGGTAGATAGATGGAAAGATGGAGGTAAATAGAACAATAAAACGACAAACAGTTAAATAAATAAATTGATAGATAGAACAATAGATATAATGGTAGACTGAAGGATGGATGGATGGATGGATGGATGGATGGATGGATGGATGGAACGATAGATGGAATGAAAGACAGATAAATAGAATGATAGATAGAACAACAGCTAGATAAATAGATTGATAGATAGAACTATATACACTCACCGGCCACTTTATTAGGTACACCTGTCCAACTGCTCGTTAACACTTAATTTCTAAGCAGCCAATCATATGGCGGCAACTCAGTGCATTTAGGCATGTAGACATGGTCAAGACAATCTCCTGCAGTTCAAACCGAGCATCAGTATGGGGAAGAAAGTTGATTTGAGTGACTTTGAACGTGGCATGATTGTTGGTGCCAGAAGGGCTGGTCTGAGTATTTCAGAAACTGCTAATCTACTGGGATTTTCACGCACAACCATCTCTAGGGTTTACAGAGAATGGTCCGAAAAAGAAAAAACATCCAGTGAGCGGCAGTTCTGTGGGCGGAAATGCCTTGTTGATGCCAGAGGTCAGAGGAGAATGGCCAGACTGGTTCGAGCTGATAGAAGGGCAACAGTGACTGAAATAACCACTCGTTACAACCGAGGTATGCAGCAAAGCATTTGTGAAGCCACAACACGCACAACCTTGAGGCGGATGGGCTACAACAGCAGAAGACTCCACCGGGTACCACTCATCTCCACTACAAATAGGAAAAAGAGGCTACAATTTGCAAGAGCTCACCAAAATTGAACAGTTGAAGACTGGAAAAATGTTGCCTGGTCTGATGAGTCTCGATTTCTGTTGAGACATTCAGATGTTAGAGTCAGAATTTGGCGTAAACAGAATGAGAACATGGAACCATCATGCCTTGTTACCACTGTGCAGGCTGGTGGTGGTGGTGTAATGGTGTGGGGGATGTTTTCCTGGCACACTTTAGGCCCCTTAGTGCCAATTGGGCATCGTTTAAATGCCACGGCCTACCTGAGCATTGTTTCTGACCATGTCCATCCCTTTATGGCCACCATGTACCCATCCTCTGATGGCTACTTCCACCATGTCACAAAGCTCTAATCATTTCAAATTGGTTTCTTGAACATGACAATGAGTTCACTGTACTAAAATGGCCTCCACAGTCACCAGATCTCAACCCAATAGAGCATCTTTGGGATGTGCTGGAACGGGAGATTCGCATCATGGATGTGCAGCCGACAAATCTGCGGCAACTGTGTGATGCCATCATGTCAATATGGACCAAACTCCCTGAGGAATGCTTCCAGCACCTTGTTGAATCTATGCCACGAAGAATTGAGGCAGTTCTGAAGGCAAAAGGGGGTCCAACCCGTTACTAGCATGAGGTACCTAATAAAGTGGCCGGTGAGTGTATATAATTATAGAATGATAGAACGATGGATGGATGGATGGATGGATGGATGGATGGATGGAAGGACAGATAATTAGAACAACAGATTAGATTAATTAATAAATGGAATGATAGATATAATGATAGAATGATAGATAGAACGATAGACAGATGGATGATAGATGGATGGATGGAACGATAGATAGACTGATAGATTGATAAATAGAACAATGGAGAGAACAATAGAATTAGAACGATAGACAGAACAACAGAGAGCAAAATAGATTGGATGGATGTGACAAATTTAGGATAAACTGAGGTTTACTGTAGTACTATTATGGTTTGGTGGCCGAGAAGACAACCTGCATGACAACAGTAACCACTCAGACCTCTAGAATAAGCGGTTTGCTTAATGAGAAAAACCACATGACCACCACACTTGGCTGACTGGGACTCTCATAGTAATCCCCCACATGGGAACCGGCCAGAGGTGTGGTTCTCTCCTGCCCAGCATCTCTGAGGTCTGTCTGCCCTCACGAAACAGACAGAGACTGTTCAGGGACTACTGGGATTGACTAATCAAAGCTCCTGTTAATGTGGAGTCAGGGGCACTCAGAGGCCAGAAGCCTACCAGGAAATTGTCATCCTGAAAGGTGTAGTGCAGCGTGGTGATCCACTGACTGTCCCCATTCACCAGCACGTCACGTTCCTCCCGGAAACACGCTGTCTGGGGAAAAAAAGACAAACATTTGTTAACATTTAGTTGATCTCAAACAATGTAATTTCCCAAACTAAACTAATTGATTTTGCACTAGAAAGATTTTATTGTGTACCTCTGCTCTTTTTAGCATCTCCCACTTGTTGAGGATCTTCATGGCAAACACCTTGTCTGAACTTTTCACCTTTACAACTGCTACCTGTAACACACCGGAGAGCACACAGAGATCTGACACCCGGCTCCTCCATTAAGAGAGCAAGAGGGGATTTCTAGAGGTCCCGATAAGATGATAAGCGCTTTGTGTTGCTTTTTGTTCCATCTAGATTACCAGATCACACATGGAAGTGGTTGGTTATTTGTGACAGCAGAGTGTAAACCTTGAATTACAGGGCAGGTCGTGTTACTACGGGTGTACACGTTCATATACACACGCTGCCATGAAATCATGATATAACTCATTCTGAGGAAAGAAAGCATTCTTCACAAAGAAGCACAGTCAGGACTCAACAAGTAAAGACAATCAGCTGACAGCAATTCGATCTCAAGTCAGTGACAATTTCCCTGACAGCCCAAATCCAATTTTAATAACTCAAACGTTGAACTGCAAAATATGACTTTGAAATCTGACCCAAACCACTTATTTATGTAGTAACACACACACACAAGCATATAACGTCAAATTAATAATATTTCTTATTATTGGTATTAATATCATATAGAATTACCAATTAACGCAGCATCCATTTTTTCTGTCATTCTTTGGCTAGCATTACATTATACTGTATGATCACTCTTAATCATGCAAGTGCTCTTAAACCACTCAAGTGCGGTAAGAAGCAGCACTGGCACCCATCTGTGAATCTCCTGTCTGTGTGACACACACTTAGTGCACACAGAAAGCCGCTTGAATGGACAAAAGCACAAAAAATTATGCCAAAATGTCAGTTTGTCGAGTATCCTCGCAAGCAGTTTGTCATTAATGTTAATCAAAGAACAAAAGAAAAAGACTCACTCACTGCTCTTGACTGAATAACTTTTGTAGCTTTAATAAGGATTAATCTATAATCTTCAATTTATGATTTATGCAAGGAAGACTGTGTAGTGTTTGATTATTATATTCAATTTCTGTATATATCCTACCTGTTAGACCAACCTGAAAATCTTAAAGCACTGTTTACAAGGTTACATGGCTGGTCACAAGGTCAAAAACAATGAAAACAATATATTTTTGTGCATTTTGACAGGGAAAGTAAAAATCTGAACAGGTCTGACTGGGCCGATTGATATATTGATACATTGAGCCCTGATATATTGAAGGGCATAGGTAAATTTAACATTTATTATAATGGGTTTATGGGAAGATTGTTTTTAAGTTCACTTAAATTAGAAGATGTTGTATTTATTAAAGCATAATAAATATTAAAATTGATAGCTTTTAATTATACTGGAAATGCTGAATGGCTATAATGACTAAATTTGAGAAAAAAATGTATTTCATAGAGACATTGGTATCGGTAATACTGGCCTTCTTTAAAAAAAAAAAAAAAAAAAAAAAGATGCCATAACAGATGACATTATCAAATTTTAGAATATAAAATGATAGTTAATATTAATATTTTATCATATAATTATAAAATAATAGCAATATTAGGTTTTTCTTGGCAGAAAAACCAAATTATAGGGAGCATTAGTCCAAACACATCCCCCTAAACAGCACATAATGGACCAATAAAATGAAGTTTGGTCCACACATTTAAGTGTGAGCATCATGGGAAAAGGAAGTGGAATGGACATGTATTTGTCTTGAACTCAAGGTGTCCAAGTGAAACAACGGTGTGATTCACTCCCTGCGATTAAATAAGCCAAAACAAGCATGCATTGAGAGGTCTACGCATTCCAGACCGAGCCAGGATCCAAACATTATTCCAGACAGAAATCACGCTATTCACTCTTCCACACATCTGATAGGGATTTAAAATAAACTAAATCCCAAAAGCAACGAACCCTAAAATTTAGATTACGATTGCTAAGAAAAGCTAACGATTATCAGCTAAAACATCAGGCAAATATCTGATCGAAAGACTGGAAAGTGACTTTTAAAACGGCGTTCAGAGCGCTGCCTGGCATTGTGCCCTCAAAACACACAGCCTTACATGGGCCAAACTCCCACAATGCAGCCTTTGAAATATAGTTATGGAAATCTAATTATTACTCACAAAAGACATTTATCTTCTGTCATTATTTGGTCAACGGTACGAGATATGTGTGGGTGGACAAGAGCGAGCAATTCAAATGAAAAAGGCAATGAAAACCAGGGAAGATAACAACAGCTAGTACACTGATTCACTGGTGGTCTGAACACAGATCATTGAGTTTTTGGCATCTTTAACTTACTTTGGTCCTCTACAAATAACACTGTTGAAGTGGTACAAATTAACAGAAAATGAATTATATATAAAAAAATATATATATATTAAAAAAAAAGTTTTGAAATAAAATTTGACCTTTTAAACTTTAAACTAGATAGAAGAAGTGCAAGCACAGTGTCACAGCTACGAAATTGATAAATCTAAAATCGATACACTTAAATGAATAAATTAATGTCAATCGTCAAACTGATCAGAGAAGAGCCAGCGATGTTATGAGAGAGTTTAGCGGTGCGCTCCAGCCTGGCTCCTGTCAGTGTCTAAGAAACCAGGATCAGGGCGGCACGGGGCGGTCGGGGTGACAGGTCAACCTTAACACAGAGACGACCCTTTGACAACTACAAAGACCTCCGTTCAGAGACCATGACACCCATCAGCATCTGCTCAGTGTACTCTCATTCTGCAGATGGTGACGTGTCATGGTCCCTGAACGGAACTCAAAGCATAAAATATGCAAGAGTGAAAATAGCTTGGCTGCTAAACTGTTGAAGTGAAAACTTTCACTTTTTCATGGGGTAGCAAACTGTACTGTGCTTAGTTTATGACACGTAAAATATCTTGGCATGTCTTTGGGTCATGAAAAAATTCTTGGCCCAAGAAACAACCATGTCGCCAACAAGGGTCATAACCACTTCTCTGGTGCTTAAATGGCTGATTGGCTGCATCCCAATTCGCACACTTCTACATTCTCTAGAGTACGTAGTTCACTGGTGAAACTACTGGGAAGTTCTAAACTACATACTAAACAATACTGTTTTAATAACATTTTTTTAATAAAAAACATTAACTCTTTTGTGACTGTATATGTTATTTTAGTTAGTAGGGCTGTCAACTTTAGTCGTTTAGTCGACTAATTGGTCGATGCCGTCTTGGTCGACTGACATTCTCATTGGTCGACCAGTTGCATTTTTTTTTTTTTTACCAATAGAAAGACATTTTCATTGATTTACTCCTTGATATTTATTACTTTATAAGCAGTTATATATTACTGTATTCTAAATATAATTAGCCTATGTTTTATCCCCAACATTAAATGCTTTAATTTAGGCTATTTTGTAACAGCGCCACAGTTTAGCGCACCACGTAGAACACAGGGGAACTGCACCTGTGGCTGGCTGCGCTGCTGCTTCGCGCTCAGTAAGGAATATAGGTAGTTTTGCTGTATTCATTCAGTTAGAACGCTACATGTTTTGGCTTTACTCGACAAAATGTCCAAGAAATCTAAATCTTTTGTTTGGCTGCATTTTACAAAAAAAGACGACAAGACTGTGGAGAGCAAGCTATGCGGCCTAAAGCTAACTTACCATTAACATATAGCTCCTAAAAACGCGTAGAAAGCGCTGGGCGCGCCGCGTTCTCATTTTTCCAAAGCGCTAGGGCGGTTGCGCTCCGGTTGGTTCTTGTCACGTGACCTACGGTGCGCTTATGGTGCGCTTGCGGCATTCTGAAAAGTTGAGATGATTTTATCTCGATGCGGCACGGACGCGCTTCCATTATGTGCACACATACCGCGTGCCTACATTTGAAATAACGAACTTGAGCGCGCAAAAGACGCGATATGTGAGCAGGCCCTTTAATGGCTTTCTTATGTTTTTGTATTTATTTGTACACTTGACGCATTTGAAAATAGCCTAAATAATGTAACAAAACGAAAATAAACGCTAGTTACGCATGTAACTGTGGTTCTGTGAATTCTGGATGACCGCCAGAGGCAGTGTAAACACTATGGATTATCGCAGCACCAGCTAGATAGGTCGAGAGAATATACCAACAAAGTCACGTGGCGTGACGTATGCTGAGCCCTGGAGGGTAAAGCTACAGTAGCTCAGCACTCTACCTCGGTACGCCTTTCTCGCGCATTCCGAGTGACAGAGAACTCTGGCGGTCATCCAGAATTCACAGAACCACAGTTACATGCGTAACTAGCGTTCTGTTTCATTCTTACTGACCGCCAGAGGCAGTGTAAACACTATGGATGACACATACCAACATAGTCATGAGGAATGCCATCCACCTGATGAAATTAAGGCTGTTCCAGAAGAACCGCAGAACTAACGGCATGATGAGCAGCAACGTTGACCTTATAAAACCGGGCAAACGTGCATGGAGAAGCCCAGGTAGCAGCAGTGCAGATATCCACCAGGGAAACTCCTCTAAAAACAGCCCATGAAGATGAAATGGCCCTAGTGGAATGGCAAGTTAGTCTCCAGGGCAGTGGTCTCCCTGCCGCCTTGTAAGCCAGCGTAATGGTCTCCACTATCCAGTTCGACAACCTCTGTTTCGACACTGGAGCACCTTTCTTCACACCACCATGGCAGACAAATAACTGGTCTGACCGTCTAAATTGAACAGTAGAGTTCACATAACACTTCAAGGCCCGAACAGGACACAAGAGTTGGGCACTTGAATCGGACCCTGAAGAAGTCTGAAAGGAGGCCAGTTCAATATGCTGATTTATGAACTGAGGAAGAAGGACCTTCGGAAGAAAAGAAGGATTGGGTCGTAGAACCACCCCGGAGCCATCCGGTAACCAACGCAAGCACAGTTCACTAACAGACAACGCGTGCAACTCACTGACTCGTTTCGCAGTAGCAATAGCTAACAAAAAAGAAGTCTTCAAGGACAACCATTTAATGTCAACATTTTGCAAGGGCTCAAACTGGGGTGAGCACAGGAATGCAAGTACGAGTGACAAATCCCACACAGGAAAATGAGGATTCCGAGCAGGGTTCAGACGGCGTGCGCCCTTCAGAAAACTGCAGACAAGACGGTG